TACTAGAGAAGGTATCCACACCCTTATAAGGAGTGCTTCGTTCTCCTTCCCAACCGATGTGGGACGAGTGACACACCCGCATCGCGGCTGTTACATTTGTCTTTGTGTTTGTAATCGGCTTCTAATTCATTTGTATTTTCATAAAACATTACCTTTAAATATAAATATAAATATAAAGAACTAAAATCAAAACAAATTATAAACCATAAACAAAAAATTTAAATTTTAAAAATATAAAAAGGTAACGTATTATAAATTATATAGCTGGAAAATAAAATTTTAAGTGAAAGTGAAAGTGAAAGTTTTCAACCAACCTAACCACAGGGCCTAAAAACGTAATTTACTCTTTACAAAAAGGCAGGATGGCCCACAAATGAGGCCACCGTAACTTATTCTAGACCCTTCACACCCTATCCCTCCACTCCCACTCACGTGCCCTCTCCAGATATTTCCCTTCCTTCCTTCCTATCGCTATATAAGTCGACCACCGCCTCCGACACACCTCACTCCAACAACCCCAACCTTAACCTTCACTCTCTTTTGATTCACAATGGCTGTTGGAAATTTTAAGAAGAAGAACAGAGAAGTTTATTGAAGGATCGATGATTTATTAACTAGAAGCTGCCTCAATATATAGGCTTACAGGACTGAAAAAAGAGACGTTAAAGACTCAACAGAAACTAGCTAAAAAGAAGGAAAAAAATCTGCAGATACTCCTAATGACCAGGTAAAACCTTGAATCATTCAACAATGGCTACAACCTTCGCTTCCTCTCTCTCCACCAAGCCCAACACCTGTTTCTTCGACCAATCATCCTTCCATGGCGTTCCTGTTGCCTCTCCGATTCGGATCCAACCCATCAAATCCCACCACAACAAGACCATGCCCATTACCATGTCTTACGATCTCGGATCCTTCACCTTTCGACCTATCAAGGAAGCGATTGTGTCTCGTGAAATGACCAGGAGGTACATGACCGACATGATAACCTATGCCGATACCGACGTTGTCGTAGTCGGTGCTGGCTCCGCTGGTCTCTCCTGCGCCTATGAGCTTAGCAAAAACCCTAATGTTCAGGTACCTACCTAATTCATTTTCTATCAAAATTATGTCGTTAGAATCTGCATGTTTGATTTATTACAAGCCAATTCTTCTTCTTCTTTTTATTTCAACCAGAATTGGTGATATAAATTTCGATCCGATATTTATGGATTCGACACACACAGACATTGATATGTGTATCCACAAATTTATCCTCAATCTGATGCTGCATAGATCAAAGCCGATAGTATGGATTTACATATTAATTCAATCAACTTTTTTATTATTAGTTTCTTCTTAATTTCTTTATTCCTCAAGTTTATATGGATTTGTTTATTATGTGAAATCATGTTTAAAAATTGTTAAATTAGGAATACATAACAAAAGTTGCATTTTTGTTTTGTTTTGTTTAAATTTAGTGGAGAATAATGAAAGTCTAATACTAATAATTACAGGTAGCCATCATTGAGCAATCTGTGAGCCCTGGTGGTGGAGCATGGCTTGGAGGACAACTGTTTTCAGCCATGGTTGTCCGGAAGCCTGCACATCTGTTCCTCGATGAGCTAAACATCGAGTACGACGAGCAAGAAGACTACGTTGTGATAAAGCACGCTGCTTTGTTCACCTCCACCATCATGAGCAAGCTGTTGGCGCGGCCAAATGTGAAGCTGTTCAACGCAGTGGCTGCAGAGGACTTGATCATCAAGGAAGGTAGAGTAGGCGGTGTCGTGACCAACTGGGCTTTGGTGTCGATGAACCATGACACACAATCTTGCATGGATCCAAATGTGATGGAGGCTAAGGTGGTTGTGAGCTCATGTGGTCATGATGGTCCCATGGGTGCCACAGGAGTGAAGCGATTGAGGAGCGTTGGGCTGATCGAGAGCGTTCCTGGGATGAAGGCTCTTGACATGAACGCGGCTGAGGATGCAATTGTGAGGTTGACAAGGGAGATTGTTCCTGGTATGATTGTCACGGGAATGGAAGTTGCAGAGATTGACGGATCTCCAAGAATGGTAAAAGACTTGGTTTCTTTCTTTCATTGTTTAATTTGTGAATGGAATTGATGAGAATGGATGAATGGTGGATGCAGGGTCCAACATTTGGGGCTATGATGATATCTGGACAGAAAGCGGCTCATTTGGCGTTGAAGGCGTTGGGGCTCCCGAACGCGTTGGATGGAACGCTGACGGGCAGCATCCACCCAGAGCTGATCCTTGCTGCTGCGGATTCCGGTGAGAGCGTGGACGCCTAAATGAAGTAAATACTTGTTTAGGGCAGGGGAGGTTGGATTTGAATAAATAATATTGCCAATGGTACTTATATCTCGTAGCTTTTTCATCATTTCTTTGTTAGTAGTATGTTTGTTTTTATGTGATGAATCTGAAGAAGAAGAAGTAGTATGTTTGTTTTAATGTGATGAATCTGAATCTGAATCTGAAGAAGAAGAAGAAGAATGGATGTGGTGATGACTGATGATGATGCCTTCAATTTGTTTTCCTGTTTCTGTTTAATTATCTCCAATCAAACTCCACTTTTGGGTTTTCAATCTTTCACCATCATGCATTTCATTTTTGGTGGTTTCAAACCACTAACAAAAACTAGTTATTGAGATCGTTATCTAATTCCAAATCAACCCAAAACGAATCCAAACCTTCATCTTCATCTTTACCCCAAGATGTCGGATAAAACTATTTGCTGTTTTTCAATGAATACACGTAATTAAATAGAAATAGAATTTGATGCATATCCCAAGATGCCAACTACATATATAAACCAAGGGTTATTTAATTTTGAGATTCAAGTGTTTTACTTTGAACATAGATGGAGTTGTACATTTTACATACATAATCGATCTCAACATAAATGGATCTGATTCTAATTCTGATGTAAGCCAAGTAATTCTAAATATCACCAAAACATCATCGAATGGTGGGGTGGTTTTTGAATGGACCAGGCATATATATATATATATATATATCTGAACCATGCATTTGGGAAACCGAAACACGCATTTGCTTTTGAGAACTTCGATGCTCATATTAATTAAACTCACCTAATTAATCTTAATTTGTTATTAGTAATTTTCAGTATCATCCAACATATTAATCTTCAATATTTTAAAATATATATTTGTTTCAACTATAATATATATATATATATATATATAT